GGATGGTGGTTCTCTGCGACTGGTCTTGTAAAAACACCATCATTGCTGCCAACTGGTTTTCCAAAGCACTGAATTGACTCTGCGTCACATACTGCGGGGGCGGTGGTGGTTCATGACCCCTTGCAACTGACTCTGACTCCGTCTCCGCCGTGTTCCCAACCAGGCGAGTATCACTTCTTGTTCGTCTTCTTGACATGGCTTTTTAGTTCAAATGAATTTTCCCACAGACGACGCCAATGAAAGGGCAGTGATTCAACACCCTTCTGTTTGCCCGGTAATGTTTGGCATTTCCACCACTCCGTCAAGTATGCAAGACCTGAAAAATGAAGGCGGGGCTTTCTCTCCCATTTTACCTCCGGAGTGAGAATTAGTTTTCAGACTTGGAAAGAATATATTTGAAATTCAGATGGCTAAAAATGAGAATGGGAGCTCGAAAAAAAAATCCCTTACCTGTGTCTCATCCGGGGGTATTTATAGATATTAGGCACTAGGTAACCGCTGGGCGGTTGTGGTGCCACGTGTCCCACGATGGTATTCCCACTACACCCACGTTCTGAGTGATGAGTCCTTAACTTCCCGTCTGAAGATTGTACCTGTATCAGCGGCCATGTAACCTTGTCGATTCATTAAAGGTTTTATGGCTAAGTGTTTGGACAAGGAATATCATTCCCGTTGAGGATTTCGCTTAGTGGTAGAATGATTTCTAGGGATAGCGGTAGAGCGCCCTTTGGGGGTTGTGGTAGAGCGCTCCCTAGACGTAGTGGTAGAGCGCTCCTTGGGTGTAGTGGTAGAACGCCCTTTGGGGGTCGTGGTAGAGCACTCCCTAGATGTAGTGGTAGAGCGCTCCCTAGGTGTAGTGGTAGAACGCCCTATGAGGGTCGATGGCCTTGCATCGGTGTGCTGTGATCTGCCTTACTTGTCCTTGAGGGTGTCTACTTCTACCAACCTATATCATCACTCATCTGCTAACTTTCAATGTCGTACTGACAGTGTTATGCAGAGAAACAGGCTCTAGGAGAAGTGAGCTCTGAGCTTCTAGACACTCGAGTTAATCCAGCAGTTTGGGAAATTAGTGGACATATGGTACTGAAAAGGGAGGAGGACTATGAGGAGGCGTCCGAGCAAAATGTTTGGAGGCTCCTAGCTGAGGTTTCCCTGTCTGAAGAGAGGCTCCACGAAGTGAAGGAGCTTCTTTTTGAAGCCATATCTTGCAGTATGGAGGAGGATAAGGGCGTTACACAGAACATCCTTGAGGAGTAGGATGTCAGCCCTCAATCTCTTGAAGATGTGGATGCCCTTCAAGGCTCCAACCCTGCTGTAGTGTCTGTGTAGCAGAAATTAATACTGGGTTCTGAGCTAAAAAATGGCTTTGTTGATAGGATTTCGGTCCCGTTTCTTATTTGATATCAAATGTGTGTGTAATGTCGGATTTTCTATGGTTTCCATTGTGGATATTCTTAAATAATGCAAACTATGTTTGCTCTGCTGTTGGAATGTGTGTGTAATTTTATTT